TGGGCAGCTGGCCAGAGCACAGCACGTGCACCTCCGATGGGGACAAAACGGGTGTCTTTGTCCTGGCTGTGAGTTTCTGCAACTGGCCTTTGCTGGCCCAAGGCCACCTCTCCAGCAGCTCTCCATCCTCCCTCCCTCACGGCGTCTCCCTGCCTCAGGCGCTGGGCTGAAACCTGGCCTCGGGGCAGCTTCAGGGCCACCAGGCCCGGTGCTCCCCTGTGGCTCTCCGGGCCTCTCCCTCCCGTTCTCGGGCCCTGCCACACGAACACCTCGGCACTGAGCGCTGTCTCGGGCTGCTCTGTCCTTTGCAGGCAACTGTGCTGATGTGGAAGATCCTCCAGCTGCCCTGTGTCCCACATATGGTGACTGTGTATCTCCCCCACCTATTGGTGCATCTGCTCTTCCAAGTGCTCTTCAGCACTCTGGATGTGCCAGAGGAGGTCAATACCTTCTGGAAGGGATGCCAGCAGCAATATGGCCTTGACACCAGCCCCAACAGGTGCTCCATGCCAGTCCTCCTGTCCTTGCCACATCCCTGGGCAGGAGCCAGTGCTCCCAGCGTGACCCGGGCTTTGCTCTGCACACAGGTTTGCAGTGCAGACCCTGAAGTCCCTGCTCTGCCAAATGCAGCACGAGGATGTGGTGGTGGCAATGGAACGCAAGTGTGGCTGGGACAAGCTGCTGTGTGCTGACACCTACCACCATGCCGTGGGTCTGCTGGCCAAGTGAGACCCCCCTTCTCCCCGCTGCCTCTGACATTTGTGCTCTGTGCCTGGGGTGCCCCATACAGTGCCTGTGGTCACGGGCCAGAGGACCTTGTCACCCAGGGACAGCCAAGCAGACTGGAAAAGGCTGGGAGAGGAGGGTTCCCACAAGGAGCCACCTCCCAAATAGCCCAGGGGCCCTTGCAGGATGCTGGGGAAAGACCAGACCTCTGTGAGTCAGTCCTGGGAGAGGTTTGTCCCCCTGGCCCACAGTCTTGGTTACTTTGTCTCCTGCCAGGGAGATGTCCTGTGTCTCCATCCCCTTGTGCTCCCGGATCGCTCGCTACCTGCTCCGGCTGCTCAGCACACAGGAGCCACGCTGGGAGCTGCCCTCCCTGGCGTTCCTTGTGGAGGTGAGCCTGAAGGCCAGCACTGCCTCGCTCAGCTGCCTCCCGGCTCTCTGCCCTCTCGTAGCCACAGCTGCCTGGGACGGAGCCCGCGCCCTGTGCTGCTGCCTGGGCTCAGCCCTGTGCGGTTCTGGGCTCCTGCTGGCTGGTCCCCTGTCACTGCCCTGTGCCTTTCAGGTCCTCAAGTGCCTGGACATGAGTGAGCGCGGTGCTGACAGAGTCCTGCAAATCTTGTCAAGGCACCTGCAGAGCGGGTGCAGAGAGAAGTGTCACCTGGTGCTCAGAGCCCTTCTTGATCTCATCAACAATCCCTTGATGGTGAGAAGGGGGCAAGGGCTGAGGCTGCGCTCGGGAATGCAGTCACTTGGGCTTGGCTGGGCTTTGGGCACTGGGCCAGCTGCTCCCAGCTCTCCTGCCTCCTGCTTCAGCTGCCCAAGTGCTTCAGAACAGCCCTTTGGCTTCTAGGCCCTGCGGCAGCAGGATGGCGTTTCACAAACTTGTGTTCCGCACAGAGCAAAAAAATGTGGAGCCTGACTGAAAGTCTTGTGGAGCTCCTCTGGGACGCAGATGGAGAGATAGTTAGCATGACAGCCATGCTCCTCAACTTTATCATCTTGGAAAAGGACATGCTGATACCCAGCTCTATAGCACTGCAGCTGGTTGAGGCTCTCCTGCCACTCCTTGACCACGTAAGGCTCACTGCCCCCAGCCATGGCCACTGGCTGCTGCCCGGACACTTTGTGCCCTGTGGATTTGCAGGCCTGCACCAAGCTGAGCTCCGTGCAGCCGATGCTGAGGTCTTTTTTTCTTCCCTTCATACAGGACAATAGCCAAGTGCAGCTGCTCTCCATAGTGCTCCTTGGAACATTGGTGACTCTTCCACAAGAAAAGGAAAAAGGGGCTCTGAAGACACACGTGCACCAGAGCCTGCTGCCACTCTTCTTCCACTGCCATGATGAGAATCAGCGAGTGGCACAGGTGAGGACTCGTGGGCTGCTGCTGTTCCCCTGGGAGGGGGCTGGGCTGCCTCCTGCCCTGGCGCCTCGTGGGCTGCAGCCTCCTCCAGGCCCTGGCACAGGGACACAGGTCCTGCGCCCTGGGCTGTGGGGCCATCTCCACGTCTCTGCTGCTCTCCAGGCTTCTCAGGAAACGCTTCTGTGTGCGGCCGAGTTCCTGAAGAGGACGGAACTTGAAAAGCTGGTGAAGAGCAAGAAGCTGTGGAAGTTCACTGAGTGGCTGGTAAGGAGGGCCGGGAAGCCGCAGCCCCAGCCTGGAGAAGCCCCCTGAGTGCGGTGCTCGGTGTGCAGGCTGGCAGCTGTGCCCCTGCCCGCTGCTGCAGCCCGAGGCCGTGCCGGCTCCTGCGGCCCGAGCCGGGTGCCGATGGAGCCCCGGCCCGGCGGGGCTGCGGGGCGGCACCGCGGCTCCCCGGGCAGCAGCCGGCCCTCTGCCCCCTCCAGAGCCCGGCGCCGGCGGCTGCTGGCCGCGCCTCAGGGCTGTGCGGGCAGGGGAGGCCGGGGCTGGCGCGGAGAGCGCCCGGCCCAGGGGCTGAGCCCGCGCCAACCCTTCCCTGCTGCCGCTCTCTGCAGCTGGCAGAGGACAGGAGCAGAGTGGCCGAGCACCTGCGCCGGGCCCTGCCCTACCTGCAGAACCTACAGCAGCCCCTGCGAGAGGCGGCCGTCAGGTTCATGGGTGAGCCAGGAGCCCGAGCTCCCTCCCCGCCCCGCCGCAGCTCGGCCCCAGCCCCGGGCCGGTGCCGCGGAGCCCCGCCTGCCCTGGGCGCTGCTGCCGCCCTCTCCAGCCGTGCCCTGGGGCGGCAGCGAGCGGCGAGGGCCCGGCCCGAGCCCTGCCGGGCCAGGAGGCCGTGTGGGCACAGGGCTGGCAGCGCCGCTGGCAGGGAGCTGTGCCGCTGGGCCTGACAGGCTCTGTGTTCCCAGGGACGGCCGGGCAGTACCTGAGGGGGAGGACCAAAGAGCTCCAGCTCATCTCTGAGGGTCAGTGAGGGCAGCGGGCTGCCAGCGGGGGCTGGCGGGGGAGCTGGGAGCCCTGCCCCGGCTGCGGAGGGCTCTGCTCCCTGTGCGGACCAGGGCCGGTGTGGGCAGAGCACACAGAGGTTTCAGGGCACCTGGGGGATTCGTGGCCAGCAGCTTCGGGCTGATCCAGCTGGTCCCTGCTCCCTTCTGTCCATGGCCAGAGCCGGCTGGGATGGCCCTGGCACAGAGTCTCCTCAGGTCCCCTCAGATGCGGGAACTGACCATGGCTCTGTTCCTCTCTTTTTCAGCCCTTGAAGGCATGGCAAATGACATCAGTGTTGCCGTCGGAAGCCTGGCAATTCAAACATTGTACGTCCTCCAGGGAACAGAGAGAGCTCCACATTCCATCTTTGGCAACCTGCATGATCGGCTCTGCAGGGCATGGAGGAGACGGCCTCGTCTGTCGGGGCTCGGCTGGCTGCGCTGCTGGAGCTCTGCAGAGAGCTGATCCCAGAGATTCTGTCTGCTGGGGCCACCTGAGCCAGCAGGAATGTTTAATTTCTTCAAGATTGTTCTTTCCTTTTTTTTGTTTTTCTTTAGCATATAAATATAGGATGTGTTGTAATAGACAGACTCCCAGGATCTTTCTTTTGCTGCCCAGGCTCTGCAGGGCCGAGGGGAAGAGGGAGAAAAGCGTTCCTGGGCTCAGCAAGCTGCCCAGGCATGCAGGGTTTTAGGGAAAATGGCCAGAAGCCCCTTGGCCTTTGGTGGTTCTGCTGAAGCCTTTGTGCTGCTGACAGAGCAGATGGGCAGGGGCTGGAGCTGTGGGGATCTCTGTGAGACCGGTGCCTGGAGATGGCCACAAGCCCTGTCCCAGGCAGGAAGCGCCATCTGTGTCCTCCTGCCCGTGTGTTGCTGGCTGGATTGCTGAGGGCTCCCAGGTGCCTCTTGATGGGGCTCCTCTGGAGCTCCTGTGGGGCTGCGGCGCTGCTGCCGGGCAGGTTGGCCGGGCTGGGGGAGACCCTGAGGGGACGGGGCCACAAAAGGATGAGGGGCTGTGGAAGCCCTGACAGGACAAGGCAGTGGGAAGGCACTGGGGGGACGTGTGAGGGAGTGGGTAACGCTGGCTCAGGGAGGAAAGTGGGTTGGAGCCAAAGAGACCACTCACCCTGATGTTTGTGTGGCAAACAGAGCACGTTTATTCTCAAGCCCTTCCTTCTAAAGGGCCTTTGAAAAACCCAGTCTGGATGATTTCACTGGTTTCACAGCTTCAGGGGCTGCAGTGGGAGCCCGGCTGGGCTCTGCCCTGGGGCCATCCTGCAAGGACAGCTGCAAACAAGGAGCATTCCCTGCCACAAAGAGCCAAGCCAGGGCTGCAGGGCAGCTGCTCCAGCCCCAACTGCACTGCTGAGTGCTGTGCTCTGGGGCTGGGGCTCCCCGCACAGGGGACTGCACTGCTGTGCCAGAGGAGACAGAGAAGCTGCAGCTTCAGCCTAACTGAGGTGGGTGCGTGGGCTGGGAAGAGTGGGGAGGCTCAAGGGGATTCACAGAGCTCATCCTGCTGCACGGATGAGGAAAAGGGAGTGGGAACTCAGCAGTGAGGAGAGCTGGGGGCTGGAGAGCAGCTCTGAATGACACTAAAATCCCACCGGACCTCTGAGACATTGCTGCTCCTCAGCCAGTGACAGGATGAGTCCCTAAGCCTGGGGCTCGGCCTTCCTCATGGTGAGGGGCACCAAGGAAGGCAACAGTGTGATGGAGACTGGAATGGGCTGGGAGCTCACTGGGGGAAAATAGGGAGCAGTTGGGGAGTAAAAGGCAGGTGGGGGAGAAAACTGGTCAGAGAAGGGCTGAGCTACAGCTTGAGCAAGATGCAAAATGTCATTTGGGGTCATAACAGATTGATTTAATTTCAGAAGTTATTGAACAAGTTTATTTCTTGGGTGGTGCCATGTTTTCCCTTGGAGGTGTACACTCTGCAAACTTGAACTGTGTTGCTGAAATGCTCAAGCAAGTCTGTGCTGCAGGGCACCCCATTTCTCCTTTGGCTGATTGCAGCCCGGTGCTGAGCTCCAGCAGGGCCCTGGCAGGGCCCAGAGCAGCCTCAGCACCCGCAGAGCCCGGCTGCAAGGAGAGAAACCAGAAACCACCCGTCAGCTGAAGGCTGCTGTCCCCTTGTCCCAGCTGCCCACAGAGCCCAGGCCATGCTGGCTGTGCCCAGAGCTGTGCCCAGAGCTGCCCATCACTGCTGCCTTTGGGAGCAGAGCAGGAGGGCAGGACATTCCCAGCCTGCAGCCAGCCACGGCACATCCAGCCCTCAGCAGCTGCCCAGAGCAGGACGCTCCTGTGCTCGCTGCCATCTCCCCAGAGCTCTGATCCCACCATCCCCAGCAGACAGGACTCACCTCACGCCATCCTCCGCTGGGAGAAAAGCTGGTCCCAAATGATGTCCTCAGCCTTCTCCAAGGGCACGGCCCATCCACGCTGCAGCTGCTCCCAAGAACTTCCAAATCCCGACTGGACCTTACATAGAACGCTTCCTCCAAAAAAACAAACATCAAATTATTGAAAATAGATCACAGACAAAAAGGGGAATAAGAAAAATTGTCAAAGAGCAGTGGGGTGTCAAAGAGTAGTGGGGTGTCAAAGAGCAGTGGGGTGTCAAAGAGCAGTGGGGTGGCAGGAGGGATGTCTAGAGATGAGAGGAAAGACTTGCACTGTCAAGGATCCAGAGGTTTTTGTGATTAAAAAAGTGCAAAGTAAAGATAAGGGAGATCCTCAAAATGATGGACTTTTAGGGGAAAAGAAATCTCACAGCAACAACTCAAGATAATATATGTCGCACTACAACACGAAATAACTCACACATTCACTCAAGATGCAAAAGAAGGAGAAGAGGAAGTTTTATTTCTGACCTTGCAATATATAGAATTCTAAAAGTGACAGTGGATTGGAGGGTGAAATTGCCACCTCTCAACCACACTGGTTAAACCAACAGTCTATCAATTTTCGCCTCCCACAAAGAAGAATGCAAAACAATCATTATTTACACGAACAGTGTGTGAGAACTCCAGTAGAAATATGTAAACATCAGAAGGCATAGAAAACTTATTTTAAAAGAATTTTAAAATTGTAAAAGAACAGGGCAACAAATATACTTTGAGAGCTTTCAAGGGTTGGTCTCCTGGCCAAATGTTCAATTATTTTTGGAACTTCAAAGTATTAATTGTATTAATTGATTGTAGTGACATAATACAAGTGGGTTTGTTGCCTTGCTAGGCTGGCAATGGGAGGTGACTTCCTGCCTGCTGTTTTTAATCTGACAGGACACAGGCAGAGGTGTCTGTCCCAGGGCTGTCCTCAGGTGTGCTTCACACACAAGCACCCCAGGAAGTTTTCTCTAGCAGTCAACAAGTCAGAAAAGCACCAGCACATTGGCTTTTGCCATTGCAATGGACATGGGTTCAGGTCTGAGCAGTTTTCCACGCAAGCTCTGTGCAACAGACCCTCACTCCTCCTGCAGAAGAATGAGTTGAATTAAACCCTGACATATGTACATGTAATGGCAATTTTGTTTATTAAACTCAAGCTGAATTCATGCAACACTGCTTTAGCAGAGCAGCTGATGTTCAATCACGTGTGAGGCTTGCAGCAGCACCTGTGTGACCCCACTGCTGTCTATGTGAACTGTTGCTCCCTTCACTGTCACAGCAAATGTGAGCTACCAATTGCAGGTGCCTTGAGCCACGTCCAGCCCTTGCAGCCTGCTCAGCTTTGCTCCTGCTGCACCCCCCCAGTACTGTTTATTTGCATTCAAAAGCCATGCACATCAGATTATGCACTAAAACATGCTTTGGCTCAACTAAGACCTATTTGAAAACCTAAGAGGAATGAGAAGGAGGTTCTTTCCAGTAGCACTTCACAGGCAGGGAAGGATAAGCTTTACTATCCTCTATCTAGGGTTCACAAAGGGGAGATTTTATCTGCCATCACCACAAACTGCTCCCAATGTTTATCTCTCTCCCCCATACAGCAAATGGCACAAATAGTAATATAGCTGTCAACAGACCAGCTGAATTAAAACAGAATTTCTTAAATTCTGTTCTTAATTTCTTAAATTCAGAGTCAGTTCTTAAATAATGGTAATTGAGGAGAAAAGAGTACCTCAAAGTTTGTACTCAGATTTTTCAGCATTCAGCTAGGAAAACATCTCTGAATATCCCCATTTTCTCTCAGGTTTTTCTCCCTTTACTCTGAAGGTCAAAGGTTTAATTTGTATGCTCGTCGCTCTCTTTCACTTTCCAACATATCCCTAATTGAAATTTGACACATATACCCATTAGCTGAATTTATTCTTTTTCCATGCTTCATTAACAATGCTCTTTGCTATATTACAACACTAATGCTCATCATAAAATGCTCTCCTATGCAATGTGGCTTGCAAAGGATGGTGATTGATGGTATCACAGGTAACATGGAACCTAGAAGGTATAACTTTAGGTGCTGAAATTGCAAGCTGTGGCAGGAATCTCAACAGCTATGGATAGATCCTGACTTTGCAAAGTCTATTAGAGGGTGTAAAATGTCAATAACTTCTCTGATGCTGCAGCATAAGCCCAGCCAAAGCAGAATCCACCCACACCAGTGTTCTCTGAACCCCAGTCTGCCACCATGAACTTCTGGCTGAACTAGATCGTAATCTACATTATTCACCCAAAATGTTGAATATAATTTTTACTACTAAATTGTCTACAATTGGGTCTTGTAACTAGAGAATGAAACTCAAAACCATAAATGCAAATGAGCTTTTCACTTAAAACTGTAATTTCTTTTCTGATGTACTGTACCTCTTGTCCACAAAGTTCTGTCTTTTTTGGAAAATGACATTTTCCTACGGTGTATAAGTTTCATTGGGTTGTCATGGAAACTGGCTCTCTCTCTTTCTTTCTCTCTGTCTCCAAGTCTTTCACCTTGAGAGTAAAATGGTTGTCATTTACAGCACTTAATTTTGCAGGTTAAACTTTCTATGATCCCTCGGATAGCGATGAAATACCATCCCAGAGCTCGGGGAGAGGGGAAGAGGGGAGAGTTCTCATGTGTTTGTAAAGGGGCAGTCAAATCCTTGTGTGTCTTTTCCCCCCACTTGAGCAGCAGGAGCAGGGGGTGCAGCAGGCTGGCTGTGCCCCGGGCTCTGTGCTGTGCTCACACTGTGGCACACAGGCACTGGCTCCTCCTGCCTTGCTCCAGCCCGGGATGTGCTGGGCTGCACCTGCTCCAGGAGCTGCCCTTGGTGGCCTTCAGCAACCCACAAACTCTTGTAAGGCAGGGAGAAAGCATCTTCCCTGGAAACAAAACATGGTTTGGAATGATTTTCTGGATATTCAGTCCAGCCAAAGGATCCTACTAGAGGAAATGGGGGCTGGGAGAAGCTCAGGGCTTGTTCTTTAGTTCAAATCTTTAGAATTTCTCCTTGCCTAAGACTGGTTTGGCTTAGTCCCCATGCAAGGCTCATGTGTCACAAGCTGGATCCTGCAAGGAAAATATCCATAAGCCTGGGCACCAGCACGGAGTGGATGCTTTTGCAGTGGCTGCACTCAGGGGATCAGGAGCTAGAGACTGCACATGGGTGCCTTGCCATGGCCACACAATATAGCTGCTTAAGCAAATCCAGAACATGATGCCCTAAACCCAGGACCCAAAGCCATTCCCAGTCTGCCATCCATTAAGTAGATTCTTCACCCATATAATCTGAAATGTATGAAAGAAACATTTGTCTATATAGAAAGGGTCTGAAGGAAAACCGGAGGGCAGCAGCAAAAGACTTGCCCTTTTTTATGGCCAACCTGCAACAATAAAAATTGGCAATCCTCACTGAGCTTTTAGCCAGATGAGGCTGAGATGAGTTTGGGTAAATTTGGGATAATCATCTGAATCTCTGAATGTTGCCAGCATTACCTGAGGTTTACCCACCACTTGCTTTAACCCCTGCAAACCAATTAGCTAATGTGTTTGAATGCTTGAGGAATGATTAGTCAGGCGGAGTCATTATAGGAGCACATATTTAGCAGGGCAAAAAATGGATGCTAACAAGGAGGTTATTTAGCAAGTGAGTGCTTGAAAGCTAAAAGTAGTAGGAAAAAACATTCATTGGGTGTTTTCTTTCTCTTTTTTGCACTACCAATTTAACCTATGGGCGCCTTCTGTTCTTTGTTAGAATATTCAGGCCAGTTGAGGATTTTTTCAGCTTTTAATGAATAGTACTCCTCTGTGATGCATGATGTGAAAAGAAGGGGTTTGAAAAAAGCCTTGCAGGAGCACTACTTTGCACTTTTACCTGAAGAAGCACGTGATAGGTTTTCCAGCTGTTTCCTACAGATGTTGTACATATGCTTAAAGGTCAGTGTTCTTTTGAGAGCATTCATAGCCCCACTTACATTTAGATAACAAACAAACATCTCATGCCAAGAAAAAGTGTTTTAAATAAATAACATTACAAAAAAAAAAAGTCTAATCAGAAGATGAGGAATGAAAATCAGACCTCTGAAAGAAAACCTGACTAATATTTTGGCTGCTCTCTCAGATTTAGAAAGCTGGGACTGGTTCCACAGGAAAAGACATTGGAGATGGCACATTAGGGGCAGGAGAAGCTGCACTGCCACATGGCTCTTGCTCCTCCAGCCAACCTGTCACTGACAAAATTACCTAAATTTGTTGCCCTGCCAAGGCTGAATGCCTGGCCCCACGCAGCCTTGAAAACAATCAGCCTTGTAAGCTACCATGAAATGGGAAAACAGTCACTCTCTCACAAGAATAATGAGACTTTGAGACATCAAATTTTAAGATTGCTATGATCTTGGGGGAGGGTGGGGTGGGAAAGGGGTGGAGAGGAGATGAAGAAAAAAATCAGATTTGGGTCATTATTGAATTTCTGAGAAACTCAGAATACAAAAGGTTCTTGATTCAGTGCTGGTTCCTTTAGGAGACAGAGATGAGAAATACAGCATAGTCTGTCTCTAATATGCTGTCTGCTCTGAGAATTACTACAGATGATTACAAGTTATAGGTTTTACTGTGGGATTTTTTTTTTAATTATGAAATTTCTCCTCTAATTGATAACAGTGTCTTTTAAAACATAATCATGTAAAACTGAATAGTAAGACTTTCACATTTAGATGTTTGAGTTAACAACAAATAGTTCTTCAGGCTGGCCTCCAAATAACTTCCTAGCAAACTGGTGAGGAAGATTATAGTTTTAGTAGTCCCAGATTAATTACTGAAAACTAATTGCAACTCAAAGGAATTTCCCTTGGCATATTTGGTCTTCATATTCTGGTGCAACCTATGTAAACTTCCATCATGAAACTAAGTGCAGTTTTCCTTGAACCTCTGAGTCTGCCTGTGATCTCTGATCAGGTCACCTACAGACCTGCTCAGAAACAGCTTGTACAAAGACAAGCCTGAGCAAGTTAAATAGCCCCTTACCCACCTGGCAGTTTATGAGAGGTTTCATCAATGTATTTACTTCAGGTATTTAT